ACAAGGTTACCAAAGGTACAAATCTAGGGAACTGCATAAAGAATGTTTTGTAGTACAACTAAACTAACAGTACTAACATACTTTTCAATTTTAATGTATGATAATTAACTTTAATCGAGTTATTTACTAAAAAGCATTGATAGCTAAGACTTTAATCTTTCATTTAGTATGTTGAAATCAGAAAACCACATTAAGATTAAAAAAATATAGCTAACCAAAGTTGGCAATAAAAAAAACATAGAATGTTGAATAACTCACTTAGCAGTCATTTTCGACCCTATGTTTCATGGGGATTATTTCATAACTTTAGGAGACCTATCTACTCTGAAATCATGTAAAAACCGGAACCAAACACCCTGTATGTACAGTTTCTTTAAAAAAAATTGTTTTATGTTAACTTTAAGGGTGGCCAAACATTTTTTTTACGAAAAGCTAGCTTGCTCATGCTAGAATGGATGATTAGGCTGTTGAACCTTGATAAGCACGCTAACTTGAAAGTAATGGGTAAACTGTTACCTATTTTGAAGAAAAAAGGCTAACTCATGAATGGGTAAATGGTTTTACCCATTCTATGAGTAACTGTTACCAATTATTTATATTGAATAAGTAACTGTTTATCATTAATGGGTAATGGAGGTAACTGGTGCTCATTAAATGGGTAAACAATTTACCTAAATTAATGAGTTAAGCCACTTTTCTTTAAAGTGGGTGAAATTTTACTCATTGATGTAAACTTTCAAGTTTACATGTGTCCAAGAAAACAAAAAAGTTTTGAAAACATTTTTGAAAATTGTTCTGAGACTTTTTTTTCTGAAAATTGAGGTGTGCCATCTCTAAACATTTTTTAAGAGAGTTTTCATGTATTATCGGTACATTTGAAAACCGGAAAACCCCACAGGCGACAATCGATTATCTTGTTCTGTACGTTAAACATAGTGTCGGGCATAGCAAGGGTGTAGTCAGGTTTCGAATTAGGTAGTGGTGTAGTGGTAAACGTGATTGCCTCTCACCCCAGCAGGCATGGGTTCAATCCCAGTCGGCGCCGCCGGGATGAGTTGATGGGTCGATAGCTAGGGTCCAGGTGTGGGAGCTGCTTCCCAGGCGTCGGTAGCATTGGTGCTCAGTACGGAAAACAAATCAAGGAAAAAAATTGTTTAACCGACTGAATTTTCAGTCATACTTCGGCATATGTCATCGGTATTTTATGAATTTGTTTGAAAATACAACATGTTTATAAATAATTTTCCAGGGTGCCCGAGCCTTGAAATTCATGATTTTTTTTGAAATTCACTCTACAGTATTGTTGGTATTTTAATGAAACCTCGCTCTTCAATTTATTCTAAGTATGTATAAAGTACTCTTGTTATATGTATTACATTTCTTTGGTAATTTCTTAAGATTTACCCATAAGAATTTTTCAGAAACCTTTTGAAATTCACCTCCGACCTGCTATTGAAGTTTGCTAATAATTATGTCGCTTTGATTTTCAGTCGTAAGCACAATAGCTATTGTTTCTAATAGCCAGGATTGCTTCGACTCACTCTGTTATTAAAAATGTGTTTTCGTATTTATGGAATTTCAATAGATTATTAGATGCTTTAACGACATGTTGTACCTACTTGATGAAAATTGTAGTTCCCTGGGCATTGGCATTGGCATGAAGATTGCTTAACTGCAACCAGGTTCCAGTTATTTTTAACGGATTATTTTGTATGGATAGCTAACGACTTTTTAATAATTATTGTAGCACTGCAAAAACTACTTTGTCCACGATGATGATGGATTTTTTAAATTTGATTTAATAGTAGTAGTAAAAAAAAGTAGTCTACAAAGGTTTGAGCCTCGCGCGCGTATTACGGATACAGAGGACTGAATTTAACATTTGAAAAAAAAATGCAATTTTGAAGCTTATTTGGAAGATACCTTGAGTTAGTAGTAAGTTTTCTGGCAAATGTTGGGGGTTCGTGAGCATTCCTGACATTGCTGAAAATTATGATAGCATCAGATTGCGGGGTTGCTAGTGTAATAGGATGCTTTGTTGATTGTTCATTAACTCTTGATTACTTGTAATACTTATGAATATTTTAGGTGGACAAAAAGGCGAACTAAGACGTGGACGCCTAAGCTTTTTCACATTTATATCGCTATGAAGCAACTGTAAACTCTAGAGGGAATTTATATCTGTAAATGTAACAAGTTAATTTTTTTTGCTAACCTGGTTAAAATGTTTACATTTAATTATCTTAAAGATAAATCGTCCAGCTCAAACCTTTGTAGGGGTAAGAGGTGGGACCATCATCATCATCATCATCATCATCAACTAGTGATGCCAATTGTGATGTAGCGGACGAAGTTTTTTTTTTAATTTAACTACAAATCAAAATTAAATAATTGTGTAGTTTAGAATTATTTTTCCAAATAATTAAGTCTAATGGCTGCAAAAATATATATATTTTTTTTATTGTTTATTTGGTTCAACACTTTTGGAATGCGACATCACACAGGTGCTACCTTTGAATTTGGCTTTATCGAGTGGCGATTTTCTTTTCTTTAGATCAAGACGATGAAGTTTTGAAGAAGACAACGGTCATAAATCACAGGGAAGAAAAAAGTTGGTCGCCGTATTACACCTGGAAAACTAGTGTGATCGGGCCATTCCTTGAATTTCTGGAAAGAGCTCGTAAATAACAGAAAACAGTTTCAAAACGTCACCAACAACGCCACTACAATGGTTCAATCTATGTACGAAGCGAGCGATGGAACAATATCAGACGATAGCAGCAGCGATGACATTTACCCAACGAAATCGAGGAAATAAACGCCATGCAGGGATTTTCATCGGACTCATCGTCAGACCTATAGAGGGCGGCATCACCAAGAGCGCCAACAACAACATCACGGTAAAGTCAGGCATCAAAAAAAAAACAATCAGGTAATTTCTTACTAATTTTACCTATACTTTACTTATACTCGCATTAACCACCTTAAGTTACAGCTATTTATGAATCGACACAAACCCCCCTCCTTTTTTTGTTAATTCGTTTATTTGTACAGGCTCAGTCGAATAAACTTTACAAAGCCGATACATTCTTTTTCTTCTACGATAAGAATCTTAAAACTAGAGTTAAGGGGGTTTAACCGATTACTCGCGGTCGTCTCGATGTTAGGGAGTTTTAGAATTTAAGGATGGGGAAAGTTTGAGAGGATTACGAATTTCATTTGTTTTAATATGGTAACTATTTCTAAAAAACCCTTACTTAAATCTAAAGAATTGATTATTTCAACATGAGATGAACATGAATACTACATAAGGATGTATACACACACACACTCTTTCTCGCAAACACATTAATCCTGACAAACATACCAAATTAATTAAGAAAACAAACTATCTACAACCTAAGGTTAATGAATTTAAAAAATTCATATATGAGTTTCATATATTCCAAATCGCACTCAGCCAAGATATCTCGAACCGGAACATTGGGTTGTCTACCTCGAGCCCGAAGGGAATCATACAAATGTGATCTAACTCCACGATACTCCGCACAAGAAACCCCCTCCCTTGTATCTTCCCTTATGGCAGCTAATACATTAATGTTGAGATGGGGTCTGGCCGATACGTTACCCTACCGGTGATGTTACTATGGCTCGCCCTGTTTCACATTCCTGGATTACACAGAACCTATTTAACCTGCTGGTAAAGATGCTGTGATGCCAACCCCTGTCTAGTGGTATATCATGTACGGTGCATAAAAGTATCGGAGACCTGACCCTTGACCCCCTTCTATACTACACAGTCACAATTACAATCACTTGATGTAAATTGTAGTTACAAGAAGAGATCGAAAAATATGTGGACCCAAAAAAACTGTCAATTTTGTTTTCAGAGAGTCACAATCAGTCTTGTAAGCGGTCACCGTGGTCGACACATTTTCGGGGATATTCGACTGCCTTTGCTTCCGACAATTGCAAAACAAACTATCAAATTACAGCACCAAACTAAAATGTCATATGACAGGCTCTGTCATACGACACTGCCGCCAAAGACCGTCACAAGTGTATGTATTTTTGTTTTTTTTTTCATAATAATAGCTGCTGATGTTGTGCTTGTGTGAATTCTGAAAATAGCAAGCAACGATGTCCTAGTAATAACATTTCCGATCATAAATGGTTTAATTTACACCAAATTGAGGAATTAGAACAAAATCACACATGATAGTTTTTGATAATTTTCTTTTTGCTCGAATGTTGTTCTACCGTTTGTTTTGTGTATGAAAGACGACGGTAGAATATGAGAGTACGAAAAAAACGGACTGTCACGCAGGCTTGCTTCCACTCACTTGCTATAAAACAATGCATTTCGGAATTATGGAATCATTAGATGTTATAATAATAATCAGTAGTTGTAAGTTACAAGAAAAGGTTGTAAAGTATGTGTTTGACACATACAACCTTTCAATATTGCTTCCAGAGCCTCACAATAAGCGATTTTATGATTCGTGAGCGCTCACTCTGAGTGAACACTCACGAATCATAAGAACGCTGATTGTGACACTCTGAAAGCGAGATTGATAGGTTTTGTATGTCAAACACATACTTTTCAACCTCTTCTTGCAACTAACAAGTTCAAAATATTAATACGGCATCCAATGATTCCATAATTCTGCATCACATTTTTATAGCGAATTGGAAGCAACATTGCTAACAGCCTAATCTAGCATCACAGAACATTTAATTATATATATATAGTGCTTATCTTGCCCCGTCTGCCCCTATTGGGAGTAGAAATCAGCGTCGGTGGTTAAAAGAGTCTATAGTCCCAGCAATATATATTATACGCTTTTCCATGAAAGCGTAATGCAAATTATTCAAATAGTTTTAACCCAAAACAAATAGCAGTAGGTATTTAATATCACAAGACATGTTCATCGGAATTCATCGACTAGATATGGCTATTCGAGATATGTTCCCTAAGCTACTGGGGTTTTAGTACTTACCAACTACGCGAAGCCACTGCCTGAGTTCATTGCCATTGGCCGGTAGACCGCGGATCAGAGAACGTTCCGAGATTTTTGCCTTTCTTAAGATTAGCTCCGAAAACATTTTTATCAGCTTCGTTTCTAGAGTTCGTATTTCTTGTTGTGTGAGTTCAGCGCTGGTTGCACATTGAGTTCTTAAGCCTTCCAAACGATCGGCAGAAATATCTATCATGCTTTGAATTACATCGATACCTTTGCGTATGTTCACTTCCGAATCGCTGTTTAAATTTTGATCACTGTTCACTGTAGCCATTGTCATTAATATTTTTCCTGGTGAAACGCCAAAGCGTTCGAATCAAAATCAATATTACACTGCCTTTTCCAGCATATGCATTCATAACAGCATGTGCACTCAACTTAGATGCTTTCCTTCATTGTCACTATTTGTTTTGCTGATTTTATTTTATTTCATTTGAACATTAAGTAGTAAAAATCAATATTTTTCTCTCTAGAACTGCATTTAAATCACTGTTTTATAATTGTCTGCTATATAGAGATTATGCCATTAGTCAATGAACAACACTGTAGCCTTTCGATATGTTTTAAAAACAATATTTACGCTCTTGTGTCGTCTTGTTATCTTGTTAAAAGCGCACGACATCAAGTCGATGTTTCAAGTTGTTTGTAGTATTAAGAATATAAATTAAAAAGCGGCATTATATGTTGACATTTACTCGAACTATAAACGCAAAGGGTCTGTTGATAAAATAATCAGTCAGATGAAAGTTTACACTCAAAATTATTACTAATCAACATAGTGTTTCGCGAAAACCCATTAATGGATATAAAAATACCCATTTCCGCTAAAAGTGCCCCTCCTCATTTAATTGGTAAACTATGGTTTACTCATTAATTTGTAAATGGGTGGTCTGTAAATAAATGGGTGTTTCTTACCCATTTTCTTAAATTGTGTTTTCCGTAAAATGGGTGAAAAAAATACTTATTTTTTCAAATGGGGGATGCAAGCGCTTGGTTATTTGTCCTCATTGATATAAAAACGAGGAGCACGCACTAGGTTGGTTGGTTGGTTGTGTTTATAGACGAGTGCACGGATGGATTTGAGTTCACTCACTCGACAAAAAGTGACACAACAGCGGGGCCCTGTTTACTAAAAAGAACAGCGGGGGCAGCGTTGCCAGAATGTTTTAAAGCTTATCGGTATCAAAGATTTAAAAAAAATCGGTATTTATCGGTATTCACTATTTTAATTAATTTTAAAGTTTTGCCGTTTTTGAAGGCGAAGTTTTTTATCTTTTGGACTATGATTGGAAAATTCCGGAAGAAAACTCCGGGGAATGTTTGAATTAGCTTCTGGAAGAAGCTGAAAACAACATCCAAAGAAAGGAGAAAGAAGCTCTCCTGGAGGAAATTTTAGGAAAGTTCTGAGAGAAGTCGGAAAATCATCTGCGAAACTTCCAAGACATAAATTGAGAAACTTCTGGCAAAAACTTAAAGAAACATTCAGAAAAATTGGGATTTCACAGTCAAAGGAAAGCAGAAAAGTTTCGGAAATCGGAAATAAATTCCAGAAGTAGCCATTGACAGGGGAAGCCAGAATGAGCTCGGAAAAACCTTCCAATAGAAGTAAAAACCAACTGGACAAAATTCCAGAACAAGACGAAAGAAATTTCTGGGAGAAGTTAAATTGAACTTCCTGGAGAAGACGGAAGAAACTTCCTAAGGTAGATTGGAAAAAAAAATTCTGGAGGAAGTCGGAAGCCAGAGCGCTAACGGAACAGTCGAAAGAAACAAGGACATAATTCCGGAAGAAAGAGCTCTTGGGGATGTTCTAATGATCCAGAAAATTTTACAAATGGTCATAAAACATCCCTGAAGACCCCGCAATGCCCCTTAAGGTTTTGGAACATTCCTGAAATGTACTTAGAAATATTCCATATTTCCTCGGGCTGTTATGGAGTACTCTGATCATCTTTGAAATACTTGGAACTTCCCTGATTATAATGAGACTACCGGAATATATCTAATAAACTTATCAACACTGCAAGCACGGAACTTCCCATAAAATGTTCTCACAATGTGCTAATGTTCATGTAACTTCCCTTACGTTTCTTAAATTTGCATGAGCCCCTCGGAACATTGCTGAAGCTTTCGGAAATTGCCTGAGTTTCTCGGAACTCCTTTAAAATTTCAGCGATGTTCTCGGAGCTTCCTTAAGTTCTCTCAATTCTCCTGAAACTTATGGAACTGTCCTTAAAACCATTAAATTTTCCAGGAGTTCTTTGGACTTGTGAAGCATCCAAAATATTTATGATGTTTCCTTAAGTTCACTGGAGTTCGCTGGACCGGGTTTCAGAATTTTAACAGAAGTTATTGAAACAATCTTCAATTTATCGAAACTTACTCAAAAGTATGGACTTTTCTGAAGTTTCAGAACTTCTTAAAAGTTCCTGCAGCTAGTGTGGATCCGCAAAATCTGGAAGTATCCCTGCAGTTCCAGAAAAGTTGAAAAAACTGGCGGGAAAAGATGGAAGACTCATTCGAGCGAAGGCTGAAGAAGCTTCCAAAGGAAGTCAAATAAGTTTCCGAGAGGAATCGTAAAATAATTTACGATGTAAGGTGGGATAATTCAGGAAGTTAAATAATGTTTAAAAAGTATGTCCCTATTCCCCCGGAATTAACAGAAAGAGCCATTGACTGTTTATCGATTCATGGGCATCCAAAAACGGTGAGGAAATTGAAACATTAATCGAAAGAGTATCCATAAGATAGAGATGATTTTTTTTAATTTTAAAGTCTCAAAAAATTGAGATGTTCAAAAAGATACAATAATTTTCTCCGAAATTCAAGTGCGGGCAGGCAATATTCTTTTTGATTATTTAATAAAATCGGTGTAAAACCTAAAAAATCGGTATAAAACCTAAAAAATCGGTATTCTGAGTAACCTTATCTGTATATCGGTATCTAGTTCGGAAATCGGTATAAATACCGATAAATCGGTATATCTGGCAACGCTGAGCGGGGGTGTCACTTTTTGTCGAGTGAGTGAACTCAAATCCATCTGTGCACTCGTCTATTAAGGAAATTTTCAACCAGACGCTGGTTCATCTCCGGCTCAACGGCACGCACTAGTCTTTCAATACTACTCAGCCTGCTGACCAAATGGATTGCAAAGAGATGAAAACAAGAGCAAATTTTCATTATGTCGTAAGTAACATTCGTACCAATCCGAGAAAAATAAAGTTTTGTTTTGATGACCGAAAAGTTATTCCTATTTCCTGTTTACATGGAATATTACATATAATCTCATAGTGATAGCAATGTTTAACATATTTAGCAGGGTTTTAATCATACAAATGCAAATCGCTAGCTTTCATGCTAAAAATACTGGTTTTTGAGTCAAAAGTTATTATACGTCGTTTGGTGGCCCCTATTGTTACTTAAGTCAAAGTGTATTTACCAGGATATTCGGGAGAATTATCAATTACGTCTCCTTACGTGCAGCCCATTCATCATTTTAGGACTACCGAAATCATCTTAGCAACAAACAGTTCGATTTATTCACTTTAATAATGAGAAAGCGAAACGACGAACGTACACTTTTCACGGGTTTCTCAGCGCTGTTACTTAAGTCAAACGGCATTTCCATAGAAATTGGGTGACTTAAGTAACATCGAAAACTATTTTGATCGGAAGGTGATTACGTCAAAAAGCAATTTGACTGGCAAATAAATTTAAAAATGGGATTTGATCCTATATTCGGACAGTATATAGTGTAATAGCAGGAGAATCGATTGACACTGATAGCTCGACTTTGTTTACTTTTGTTACATACGACGTAATGAAAATTTGCTCTTGAAAAAACGATTTGCAGACAGGACATCTAAACTCCTGATCTTTTTTGGGTGCGAATAAGGGTGGGCTGTGGACATAGGCGTAGCCAGATGGAGGCAGGGGGAGCGACTGCCCCCCCTAAACTCAGCAACACGAAGGCTTTCGGGGAAATGGCGTTCGGTGAAATGGCATTCGGCCAAATTTTCCATAGTAAATTTGTTTTTCGCCCCTCCCTAGCTCGAAACCTGGCTATACCGAGGAAAATTTCCGTATACCATTTATGTGTGAAACCACATATTTTGTTTTAAATCAGATTTCACAAATAAAACATGTGTTTGGGAACATAAAAATTATTTGGTTTCCCACAAATAAAATCAATGTTTTAAAATAAATGGATGCTTTGGCTAATAAAATTTATGTGTGAGGTTTATAACAATTATTTCTCGGTTGAAAATAAATATTATGTGTCTTTTTCAAATGAAAGTCATGGTAAACACAATAATGTTTCCCTAATAAACAGATACCATAAGCGAACAATAACCCAAATAGTCTAACTTTTCCACAAATGGTTTGGATGATACCCCAAACACGTCATTAAGCAAAATAACCATAAGAAATTTATTAGGGTTACGTATCAAGTACATATACTTTATATTTACTAAACATATTTAAAATATACACACTTAATCTAGCTCGGTAAAATCTCCAACAGCCGATTACCTCGGCATTTACTTTTGCTGATATCTCTGCAAAATATCTGTTTGTTAGCTGATATTTCAGCAAATAGTTATTTGTTAGCTGAGTCTCGGCAATTGTTTTACTGAATATCAGCAAAATAAATTGCAGAACTACTCGGCTGTTGGAATCCCGGCGAAAAAATTTAAGTGTGTATATAATAAAATAATAAAGATACATGTATTTAAAGTGATTTTTTGTTACTTCATACGTGATACATGGATAATTTCATAGGGATTTTTCGCGAGGAGGCGTTTTCCGGTTGAGTCCTCCCGTGTCTGTCGAACGTGCCTCAGAGGGTCTAGCGTGAGGTCTAGCGTATACTTTGCCGTTGTGAAGGCCGGCGCACAATGCATACTTTTCGGGTTTTTTTGACAGATAATGCATGGGCTAACTGTCAAAAAACCTGAAAACGTATCTATTGTGCGCCGGCCTTGATCATCTACGTCTTCTTGCTGCACGTTTTTCTCCTGCGCTTGCTCCTCCTGGACGTATACCTCGCCGTATCCCTGCGGAAAAATTCACAAAATAATGTTATAAGGTAATCCAAGAGACGTTTCTCATTGGAACTGACAGCTAGAAATCAAGAGTGTGTGAGTGATCTGGTGTTAATGGTGCTGAATGTAAACATAAACAAAGCAGAAATTCATATGAGAGTGAACTGTCAGTTCTACTATGATCTGTCAATAGTTCGTGGTAAACAAAAAAGTCAGCTGGTCGCAACTGTCTCGTGGACAGCCTTATTTCAAACAAATAATTTCTATGGACCTTCTCACGTTTGCCTTGCACCAATCAGTTAGCAGTTAGCACCACTCAGCGCTCAAATATCAAAATTATATGTGAAAACACAACATTCAACTATAAGATGCGAAACATAATTTTTATGGTAGCAAACATATAAATAAAATATGTCATTCATCACGCAGAAAAAAGTATCGTCGAAACAAAA